TAATCCAGGAGGTCATTTGACTCTGGAGCCCATACTCTTCATTAAGGGATAATATTTGAGGTGTATCTTGCAAGATGAATAAGAGTTTGATGAATACTAGGATGAGCATATTAGGCAGAGAGAATCGAGTGTGTGTGTGTGTGTGGGCTCATTATCCTGGGATTTGAAGATAGGGAGTGGTGGGAAATGATGTTGGTATAGCAGAAAGATAAACATCTGACTTGGTGAGCTTGAGCAAATGTTTCAGAGATAAGTGAGTGAGCCCTTTTAAAAGTCTCTTTGAAATCTTGAAACTTTTCACTTTTATTTTCTTAGGTGCGAAGAGTTCACACTGGGAGCCTCTGGATTAGCTGATAGCAAAGGCATTTTCTGAGTTCAATCTGGATATTGTTATCTCGGTGTAAACCCACTACTGCTTCTATTGATTTAAGCTCTGATTCCCATTAGGGTTAAAAGGCAGAGCCTTTCATATATAGATATATTTATTTGTGTTTGGTAAGAGTCTTAATAGTTGTTAACTGCATAGTTTTTCCTAAGCTGCCCTCACTCTGACAAGAGCTAAAGGGCTAACTACCAGCCAGAACCTGAATACCATCTGGTAGTTGGCTTACATGATTGATTTTTAAAGAGGTGATATGAGAAGGAATGTCTGTGATGTGTGGTTGATCCTTTTCTTCAGAGCCCAGCTCTTATTTTCTGATTTTAAAAATGTATTGTGATCTTTGTAGTAAGAGTTGATTATATTGAGGAAATAGTAAACACAAAATGAGAGATCTCTTAAACTTTAATAAAGTGTTACCTATGCACGTACCAAAGCAGATACCCAATAAATGCCAGAGTATGGAGATTTTATTGCATTGAGTTCTTTTTTCCCTGAAAGGAATGAGTAAGTAATTCATGAATGCAAATTTTAGAGGTCAAAACCTCACATGCTTGTCTCCTAACCCCTTCATTCTTTTTTCTTCAGGCAATATTATTAATAGTTCTTTAGTGACTCCTTTGGCAGAAAGTTACACTGAGGATTGAACCTAGGGCCTTCATACTGGACTACATCCCTAGCCTATTTTTTATTTTTGAGACAGTCTCCTTAAATGCTAAATTCTTTAGTCTGGGTTAGACTTTCTGATCCTCTTGCCTCAGCCTTTCAGAGTGCTGTTAATATAGGTGTGTACTACCATGCCCAGCTTAATGACTGATTTCATAAGGAGAATGCTTATGTTTGCATATGTTTTTAGTACTTTTTAAAATGAAAATGTTAAGATATAAATGAAAATAAAATATACAACTCAGCCTTGACAGTTATGAACTCTCAATCACTATTCAATCAGAAATAGAACTAGTAGCCGGGTGTGGTGGTATACAACTGGAAATCCCAGCACTTGGGAGGCTGAGGCAGGAGGACTGCTATGAGTTAGAGGCCAGCCTGGCTTACATAGTGAGTTCAAGGCTAGCCTGAACTCCATCATGAGACCCTGTCTCAAAAACAATGCAAAACAACCCCAAAAAACTACTAATGTGTGGGTGTGCTTGGACTTGTGTGAGTAAAAATTAGTTTATTACAAAGTTTTGACCTTACACAATGGCTGTACAGCTGTTTTATTTGAGTTCAGTGTGGAAGTTTGAGGTCTACATGGAAAGCAATCAGAAGAGAAAGATGGATGTCTAGTTGGAGGAGAGCAAAAGGAAACTGGAACTCACACACAGGACCTGGAGTCCATGCCGTGTGGAGTAGAACAGTGTCAGTTTCTCACTTCCTCCAACTTTGACAATGTGGATTCGTAGAGATGGAGTTAGTACCTTTCATCCTTGAGCTCAGTGCACACCTATCCTAGACTCACAGGAATAAAAGGAGGATTTAGGGGAAAGTAGTAGCAGCTACAGGTTGACCAGTTACCTTATGTCAGTATTCTAAACATAAAAATGTAGCCACTGTTTCTCTTTTCTCCATCTCTCACTTAAATATCTCTTAATGGTCACCCTAAACAGAAATGTAAAGGGGAGAGTATTCTGGACATGAGGGTCAGTCTAGCTAAACTGACACCTTATAAAATGATCACATTAATATTTGTCCAGTCTAGTTGAACTTTTTTTGGTTACTTTGAAACAATTCCCAAATATCATATAATTTTTTTCATTAAAAACTTTAGTATGAGCTGAGTATAGTGGTGCATGCCTGTAATCTCAGCACTGGGGAGGCTGATGCAGGAGGATGGTTGTGAGTTCAAGGCCAGCCTGGGCTACAAAGTGAGTTCAGGGCCATCCT